AGGAAGTGAGTTTCTAGAAAGGATGAAAACTCCGTTTTATATATGGTATGTAAAAGGTAATCGTTGTTTACTGTTTATTTTGTATTCAGGTATGGGGACTTGCAAATGCAGTCTGACTAGTTTCTTTGACGTCATCATGCAACTATTTAATATTGTGCTACATTTATTATTCAATTTATTCGCAGCAATTAGATCCGTGGGTCACTTTGGACAACCGTTTTCCGTGAAAATGGAAAATGGATTTTAAAATATTTTATTAGAAAACTGTTTTCCGTGAAAATGGAAAACGGATTTTAAAACATTTTATTAGAAAACCGTTTTCCATAAAAATGGAAAATGGATTTTAAAACATTTTATTATTGTTTGAGCTGTCTGGATCAGAACATTCCACAGACTTGCTTGATATTTCGGTTGATGTTGACGTTGATGTTGGTGGAATGCCATCAAGAGAAGTATCTAATAAGCGTCTGAAACTGTCCAAATCGATTGTTGATATCTCCGCGTTTTCATTTGGTGGCGCCAACTTGTCATTGAAACTTTCAAATGTACTGTTGAGCTGGAACAAACAGATATACAATTAAACGCCCATGCAGAAAGCAAGGTTACAACACAAATAATGTGATCATACATTGCCATAACTTGCACATGACATTCATATGAATCATCGTCATAAACGAGTCATAAAGTCGTTTCCCCCAAATATTTGTCTATCAAATATACAATTTGCAATGCAATGAAACATATATGAGCAACACATTTTTTTTTAGCAACCAATATGGAATATTCCGTCTCTATCTCCCAAAAATTAATGAAGGCAAAGGTGTTGACTGCCTTAGGAACACTTCTCACTAAAAAACTAAAACTCGAGGTTGCATCATGAGCATTTTCAAATCATGAATAATTAATGAGCATTTTACCCAATCGCAAAGCTGCATTCCATCACGTGAATGGCCTTTCATACCCGGTAAAGCATGCATCAAACACTAGTGTTTCATTAGACTTGCTCCAAGTCTGCCTCTTAATTGTTGAACATTATAATAATCGAAAATTATAATAATTGAAAATTCGCTTCTCCCGCCCGCTTTTTTTTGCTCGCCTGCAATGCGAATTATCAATTATTATAATTTTCGATTATTGCAATGTTCGACCATTAAGAGACAGACTTGGAGCAAGTCTAGTGTTTCATCATCAAGTGATCAAACACTTGTGTTTCATTTATACTAATATTTCCAACCGCAAGTCCCAAAACAGTTGCTGATTGACTCATTTGAGAAGCCATTTCAAAAACTCGTTCTGCGTGTTTGATCATGGTATCAAAGCACTCAAAGGCTAATGAATCTCCCGGAGCTCCGCCCCTCGATATTCATTAGCTTCTTGTGTTTTGATACTGTGATCAAACACTCAAACTTGTTTCTGTTGAAATAGTACTTCAAACAATGACTTACTTTTAGTGGACTCTTGATTCTCCTTTCAAAAGATTCAAAGCGCTGTTCTAACAATTTAAAAGATTCCTTTGTGCTATCATCCATTTTGTCTATAATCTAAAATAAAGTACATTGCATAAATGCAACTTGTGCAGGCTGTATGAAGACAGTTATGGAAGCACATTCATTTTGTTTATAATTATAGTGCTATACAAAATGGTTATCAAAGCTTACTGGCATTTGTGTTTTGACAATTTGTTCCAAAGATTTGAGACGCTTTTCCACGTTTTCATTATGCTCTTTCATGACGCTGCTCAACTCGAGGATCATCTGAAAATATAATGCAATAAAACTTCGTCTGCCTCCGTCTATAGACATAATAGTTTCGATTAGCTATAGGGTCAGTCGAAACCACTGTAAACAATTACTATAACACAATTCAATTGTTACAGTTGGATATACTATACTTCATAAATGGTGAATGCAAGCATATGTGGGAGCATTTGTGATACACATCATGTTTCGCCTGAATTATTTTTGTTGTTTTTCGGTTAAATACACCAATTAAATGCTTGATAAGAATGTTATCAAGATAGTAGATATGGGGCAGTTTCAAATGCAGAAAATATAATATTATATCCATTGTGTGATAGCAGGTGCAGCCTTCGTACAATCGTTTCAACACATATAGCAATTGTTTTTTACAAGCAATTATATCATGAAAAAGTTCGCTGGTATTTAGCTGTTGAACTGCACTCTCTGTGAGGGTCTTATCCCGAATCAGCGAAGCGATTTTGCATGCGCTAAACTAATACACCGAAATTTCATGATATTATACTTTGTAATATTGTGGTTGCCTGAGTTTCCTTCAAGCGGGGTGTATTATAGCTCTAATTATACGAACCCAAGCACTTGGCATGCATGCTTATTAAGGAGCTACATGCACTTGGCATGCATGCTTATTAAGGAGCTACATTAAATATGTTTGCAATTTTATTAGAGTAGCGTCGAATGTGTTGCGAAGAAATACTGCAACAATGAATTTGAGCAAAAGGTTTCTGGAATGTTAAACGATGCCTGGTTTAAAATCTACATCCGCGAGCTTGCCGCGGTTTCAGTCTTTTAAATAGCCGCAGTGTTTAATAAATATGCTTGTGATAGCGCTTGTGCTTGAAGATTACCACCGCCAACAGATTAGCGTCCTTGCTTGCACATCATGCCAAGCTCGTGTTAGATACTAAGCCAATCACTGCGCAATCACACTCAGAAAAGTATCGCATGGTTGTTTGCTGTAGTGGACAGATCAATGACTATTATCTAATTACCTAAAAATCCATTAAATGAAAAATCTATTCCTGGGATTTTGTAACAGTTTTAGGTACTATAGGCTAAATGGAGAACGTGTGTTTGTTATTGCTGTATTTTAAATATTAAAGAATGCGCGATCTGGCCTCGGCAGAAATTGCAGGGTGGTTTTCGTATTAATTAATATGAAAATAATTTGCATCCAAAATGGCAGAATTGTTTTGATTATTGTAAGCGTCCGAACTTCTTGGGTTCTTCCACATTTTCGCATACGATTCACTTGACTATGAAGTGTTGGCGCGTTAATATTGTGATTATAAAACTGCTAAAATGTCGCAAAAGTATTTGGTAACCAAGTTCGTAATTGTCGTGTCTTGAATAGCCATATGTATACTGATTTAAACTCTACATAGGCCATAGCTAGCTTAAGTCTGGAGACGGGGCAACAAGGTCTTCAGTGCCTGGTTTGCAAAACTGTCTAATTTCCTTAAAAAGGTATCTCTGCCTCTCTGTATCTAAACCATTTGGCTCAACTTTTGGCGGAAGGTCAGAAGGTGGTAAAATGGTCTCCTTTTTCAATAAATTCATTTTATGTTCGTCTGAACATAGACAATCCAGAAGACAGGGACTGGAAACGCAAGCTAGAAATATGATGACAAATCGTGACATCCGTGATGTGCCTGTCACGTAGCAATTACTTGGTTACCACGGTAACAAGTCTTTAAATTTACGTAAAAACAAAGGCAAATGTGTGTAGTTTATGCAAAATATATCGTAAAAAAGCGTATTATCTGAATTTTGGGATCGTAGTCGTTGAGCGGCTTTACTAACAAAGGTAGATACGTCCAAATTTTCATTTATTTCTATTTTATAGTGGCGCTAAATGTAAATTTGGATCGTGCTATCGGTAAATCGCGCACGCAGCAATTATTTCCAGAAAATACTGCCAAAACTAACCCTGTAACTACAAACTTAACCTGTTTTGTCTTTAACGATGAAGCCATTTGAAATCACAAGATTGTAATCTATCGAATAGGCTATTTTTTATATCAATTTGGTATCATATTCAGCCAAAAATGTTTACTGAATTTGATTGACAGAATTACGAATGTTGTTAGCCGGCAATAATTATCGTCATATTATTCTGAAAACTCGCTGGCAAAACTAACCCTGGAACTGAAAAATAAACTATTTTTGTATTTTGTGGTCAAAGTATGTGTAATCACAAGATTGTAATCTATCGAATAGGCTATTTTTTATATCAATTTGGTAACTTATTCGCCCAAAAATGTTTACTGAAAATTTGACGGCCAAAATTACTTTTGCGCCAACTAGAAGATGGCAATTTCTGTTGCCCCCACTTCGAACCATGTAACTATAGTTTAATTAAATAAAGTTCAGAGTTTGTAATTTACATATTTTGCCGGAACAAAAATAGACCTGTGGATGCACTTGTCCCGTTTTGAAACTTATATCGGGTCAAACAAAGCCAAAAACGTCCTTTGGATGCTTGCGTAATGTTTTTGACTGTAAAAAAGTCGCCATTGCCATTTGTTGTTGTCCGGCAAAGTTTGTACCAGCTAACTTCGAACCCTGCAACTACAGTTTAGTAAAGTTCAGGGTTTGCAATTTATTATTTAAAACAAATATAGACATGTGGATGCATTTCTCCGGTTTTTAAACTTATATTGGGTCAAACAAAGGCAAAAACCACCTTTTAATGATTGCGTAATGTTTTTGACAGCAAAAAAAGTCGTCATTGCCATTGGCATTCTTGTTGGCATTGTCGAAAGTTAAGGGTGTTAAACATACAAAACTCACCGTTAAAATAACTGAAACCTTGTTTTTATTTCTTTTAAATAATGGATGCCTTAGCAAAAAGGGTTTTCGAGAAAGAAAGGATTTGTTGTCAATATTAAAAATGGAAGGTATATTAATTTAAAAACCGAAATTGCCAAATTCAAATTTTAAAATATAGATCAAGGAAAACTTCGAAAAGATAACTTCAATCAATTTATATAACGTAATTACAGTGAAGCAAAATTGAATAAATATACGTAAACTTAATTAAAGTAAACTAAAATAAGCAAACAAACCTGAATCGTGCCTGAAAGTCCATCCCAAATTGGAAATCAAAATTTTGAACAAGCTCGAAAATTCTCTGCACTCGTCTCTGAATATTAGCAGATCCGTTTTATAAACTTTACACACAATGTGATATACCTAACTCCCTTTTCGGTGTAGATTATTTAAACAATTTTCCAGTATATAAAGAGCTGTAAAACAGCAGACAAGTACCGGTCTACAATCTATCGCTTTATTCTTTTTCGAAGCAACAGGCGCCATTCAGTAATTCACTCGCATTGCATGATTGGCACAAGCGTCACGCAAGCACATCACGGATGGCACGCGCAAAACATTAGGCGTTTCCAGTCCCTGTCTTCTGGATTGTCTATGGTTTTATGTACCGTTGCCGTGGTTTTGAAAGTAGTCTTACGCCCGTATTCTAAAAGCTCACTCACATTCAATCATGAGTGGAAGTTCAGTCTGAGCTTCTCTCGAGTGTCATTGCTGTTCAGTTTTGAATAGCTGGAGGGTTAGTGTCGTACCGTTAGTACGTGACTATACTCACATTCATATGGCAGCTATTGAAAAACAGCGCTGACACTCAAGAGAAGCTCAGATTGAACCTCCACTCATGCATTGAGTATGAGTGTGAGTGACCTAGCTTTTAGAATACGGGTGTTAGTGCAGGTTTCTGTAATTATGTCAGTAGATTACTAGATTTTATTTATAGAGAGTTCATTATTATAATTTTTGTATGATGTTAATCTGATAATCTTAGCGTTTTTGTAAATTTGAAATTGTATGAGGAGTGGAATTCTATGGAACTTTTCTAGGTGGGAGAATACCTCGCACCTGCGAACAAGCTGGGTATGGGAGACCGATTTTTGACAAGTGTTATAATATATATTATTAAGTTCACAATGTCCACGATGCATGCATGCATACCGTGGTTTGAAAATTAAAATTATATAAAAAATATAAATGTATTTGCCAATGGTTTCAGGATATTTTAAGGAAATTTAATATATCGATTTCATAAATGATTATATAATTGTAAAACACCAGTCACCAAAACTGAATCGAAAATGCATGGCTATATTTGCCAGCAATCCCAGTAAAACGATCTATTCTGTAACGAGTCCTCCGGTGACTCGAATCATCACAACTCGATGTGAATCCTCGTGCAGGCTCTGGTTACCAACTCAAAATAGTTGCTATTAGCACTGGCGGTGTCACAGTGATACGAGTATCCCCGTGTTTTGTGTATCCCCACACTAATATCCCTAGGGATAAAAGTACCCCCGGTGGGGATACCTACAACACTAGAAGCGAAAGGATGCAATATTCAAAATATGAGCAGGAGGAAAGTCATTTACGTTTTTACAGTTATTAAATGCTGCAGTAAATGTGTATAATGTGATTGTGCTTATGTTGTAAGATAGCATGTTCGCGTCGCATAAATTGGTGTAGAACATAGTGTAGAATTACTCTTAACATCAACTCATATGGCTCCGTATTACTTGATTTCTGACGTATATGACAGGAAGTTTAAATATTACTGAACTCCGCAAGTATTTGCAGTAGAAATACGAAAGTACCACCGAAAAAATCCGCTTGAAAAGTTCTATGAAATCGAACAATATAAAATAGCCATAAATTATAAACTATACATACTTGAACAATGTATTAAACTTACCATACCATACTATATACAACAAGACGCCTACTCAGGCGTTCACTCCGCCTGCCGGCCTGCGGAGAAAATGGGGACAATGTAGGGTGCGACGGAAAAGTGAAGCCAAATATAAGCATTCAAAGACAAGTTGGTGTTCATAGCATTCAAAGATAAGTTGGCATTCATGGCATTCAAGGTTAAGTTGGCATTCATGGCATTCAAATTTAACTTGGCATTCAAAGGAGCAATGGCATTTACACACTTCTTTGAATTTTCATAAGAAAGTGCCATAACCTATAAGAGACAGAAATAGGATATTAATTCTGACACACCAATTCTGTTTGGCCCATCATTGTAATAATAGAGGCCCAAAAAGCATGTTTGAGTGGCTTGGTAGGTGTTCTGCCCAGAGTCCTAGTGGGGTTGAATTAAATACATTACACAACACATAATCTATTAATGCATGAGTCAATTCCAGGAGTAACCATCCCCCCCCCCGGGAACACACCCGGGCCTTTGATTTGATTGGTTATGATAGTGTAAATGCCCGGGTGCCGGGACACAATTTGAAGACTATGGCACGGCCCCTGGGCAAGCTGAGAGTGGAAAATGCCCCACCCCGGGGACAATTTTACAGTCGATTTCACGAAACTTTGACCACAAATGTTCCAAACTTCGTTGCGAAGTTCGCAAGTTCGTTGGAATTCACAAGCCAATTTGGAATTCACAAGCCAATTTGTAAACAAAGTCCCTGATTGGTCCATGAAGTAAAAGAAGCCAATCAAATGCGTAGTTTACGAACTGGTTTGTGAATCTCATTATGAACTTTTGAACTTCGCAACAAAGTTCAGAAAATTTGTGGTCAAAGTTTCGTGAAATCGACTGTAAACGTTAATTAAACTTTTAATGGCATATAATCATAGTCATTTAATAACATTATAGTATTAAACTGCTATGGAATATTGTAAAACATAAACCTTTAATAGTTGTATTTAAATTTGCATGGCACAGGGTATAATTTTCGCTTATTCTTACAATAAATTTCACGCCACCTTGACCATGAGGGCGCAAAATACGATCAGCGCGCCCACATGTGTGCCTGAAACTAGGTTTTGCTGCCTTAAAATTTGTGGGTGGGATTTTGGTCAACCATTTGTCAAATCCCCGGGGTCCTCCAATACCCGGCCCCCGTGCACATACATGAAAGGCAAATTCCCGACCCCCGTGAACTGTCTATCGGGCAAATTCCCGACCCCCGTGAACTGTCTATCGGGCAAATTCCCGACCCCCGTGAACTGTCTATCGGGCAAATTCCCGGGGGTGTCCCGGGGGGGATGGTTACTCCAGGAATTGACTCATGCATAACACACAAGGGCAGTAGAAAGAGCAAAGCAAGCAAACCCAAGCTGGCTGTGAGTTCAAGAAGCTGACGTTTCTGTTATTTGTTAACATGACTATATATCATAGATTATATTCTTGTCTTGCAACCAATCCCTTGAGAATTAAAAGAATGTGCGAAATTCAGTAAAACATAATGAGATTCTTTGTCTTAATACTACCACATGGCTGCCGTTTCCGGTAGTTGCGTACTAAACGTGTATAGTAAATTATAAACACGACAGCTTCAATACTACATTTCCTAAACTCTTCAAAACATTGAAATATATTTAATAACCCGATAGCCTCAACACTACATAGCTGAACTCTTCAGCACATTGTAGGGACCTTTCACACAAGAATATATTTTGCTAGTCAAGAATATAAGATCGACATTACGACATACAGCAGGAGTGAATATTTTTATTTATATTTATGACTTTAAAGAATTTCTTGTTGCCAAAATGCAGCATGTACTACCAAAATTAGAATGTTTAGTATCCCTTACCTCAGTTGAGTCTGGAAACTTTGTCTTGACATTCATCTTTTTAGTATTTTTCATCGTTTAGTATTTTTCATCGCACAAGACCGTTTCGCAGTTCGCAGTTTAGAAAAATACTGTAAGCAGGGGCCGGTTGTACGAAAGGTGGATAAGTCCTATCCAATGGATAAATCTCCTATCCAATGGATAGCTATCTGCCGAATAAAAATGCGTTGTACGAAGCACGGATAGCAGGGTGGATAGTTATCCGTCGGGTAACCTTAATTTTAACCGGAGAAAACCGGATTTTCCTGAAATTTCTTATCTCTACGCCAGCTGTTGCTAGGTATTTGTAAACTTTTGTTGTAGTAACTTGTGAATTCCACTAACCTTTGAACTATCAACTTGCAATAAAGGTTTTTTGTTCATGTTTATATTTTGGAGTTTTTCTCGTCCAATCGTTGCAATACTTCGTTTTCCCACAGTGAAGAGTTTGCTATCTACTTATCGATATTTCTTTAAAAGATTTTTGGCTTCTTTATGCGAAGGCAATAGCAAAGACTGTGAGTTTTGTTTTCTTGTTTCAGTACGTTGATTCAGTTTTATTTTATCCCCGAGCCGGCGGCGCGAAGCGCCGTGCGAGGGTACTAATTCCCCCCGGCTATATACACCCGGGGAAACGAAAGCATTAGGGAAGTCTAAAGTTCATCAATGAGCGCGGGCGTCGGTCACCAACGATGGGTGGTCATCCTCACTGATCTCAAAAATATGGCGGACTGTCATGAATAACGGACACTGATTGGTCCAATTTAAAGTTTGCATTATAACGCCTGCATGACGACAGCGAAATAGCAAACATTTCTTGATTTGATGAGTTGATGATTGATAAATTTGTCAAATTTCTTGCAAATATTCTTCATTTTTGCTCGTATTTCTGCAAGATTTTGTAAATTTCAAGAATGAAAGGGCCAAAGGATCAGCTAAAAGAAGGGAGCCGACGTTAACGAAGGTAAGTTTGTTTTAAATATTGATTTTATAATGGCTTTAAAACCCGACGGCTTTTGCGTATATCAAACAACTAAACAAGACATACAAGAGAGCATATAATTTCAGTGTATCTTTAATATTGATTCCCTTTTTTATTATATTGAATTTTTTAAATAAAAAATAAAGCAAAGTTATTTGCAGCGAGAATTTGAAATCATTTTATTGCAAACTCAAAGTTTATCGATAAAGCCATTTAATAGTTAAAGGCAGTTTAGTTTTATAAAGAACACTTTAAAACGTTTTGTGAATTGTTTGTGGTTGAATTTTACCTTAAATTGAAGCTTGTATTACGTATAATTACATACCTAACATATATATATGTTGGGAAATTGATAATTTTGTAATTAAAAGTGATATTTTTAGGCGATTTTCATTTGTAAGAATATTCTTAAAAAATTATCGTGTTACCATAACAACTACTTTAGATACTTCATGTTCGGAAAATACAACGGTTTTGTTAGCAAGGCGAGGGTTTCTGCATGCATGTATTTTCTAGTATACTGTCCGAATATTTGTTCTTTGACCTTTCACGTCATTCAAAACAATTTTAAGAACATTTTCTCGCAAGATTTGATTGGCTGATCATAACCTGAGTATCAGGCCCTCGGTATTGAAAGAGGGCCTGACACGAAACGCCTCAAAAGCATAGATATAGGAGACCTAGATTGCTGACTCGGCTGAAGAGGCGCGCCAAATTTGAAAATCCAAGATGGCGGCTCAACCGGTCAAAAATCATAGAGCGAGATAGGGAAAAACCATGTTTTTTGCATTTTACGTCGTCCTACTGTTTCCGATCCCGTTGAACCACCTTTTTTTTGGAAGAGCTAACTGGTGTGAAAGTTTTGGATGTATATTTGTTATAATTAGTACGATTTACAGTTTAAAATTCAACCGGGCAAGAATGGGCAAAGACGAAAATGGCGCGAAACTGCCGGCCTGGTTTCTTTTCCTGTGTATTCCTTGAGTCTTTTACCAGTTTTTCTACAGTAATGTAACGTATATCTGACTATTCCAAAAGTTACTATTATTTATTTTGTTCTTTCATTGTTATTTCGATCAAAATACAGTATTTTCATCTGAAAATTCTAGGGCATTCTATTCTAAAAAATCTGTTTTTCTATCGAAAAGAATGCCTTGAATCTCGGCCTGTTTTGTGTGCTGAGTATAACTGCAAGGCCAGACGTGGGGATTTAAAAGATGGTATTTGCTTGTCCTTCCATAAGTAAGTCTGAAACACACATATCGTATATTTGTACACTATAATATACTTCATATAAACAATAATATAAGACTATTAATTAAAATAAGACAGCTTTTAATAGCATAAAAACAATTTGTTTTGTAAATACAATAATGACAACAAATGTAGTTTTGAGCTTGTTGGCTACAATACAAAACTACATACAAATGTAGTTTTGAGCTTGTTGGCTACAATATAAAAGAACATTAGACCAAAAAGAACTTCTTGTTTTGATGTCTGTGTTAGGAGTCTATATATATATATATATATATATATGCATGTTGACAATAACTTTCATAGAGGTCCTTGCCTGTTGAAGGTCAAAAAAATTGAGTTTTGTTCACATCAGTGAACCAAAAATACATATTTCCCTTCACACTATTTAGATTTCCTATAACCAATCCCAGCCGGCTAAAAAGTTGGATAACAGCAATGAAATGGGCAGACTGGATGCCAACCAAATATTCAGTATTGTGCGAGAAACAACTTACACCCAACAACTATATTAACCCATTAAGTCGCATTATGCCCTGATGTGCCCTACTTCATTATTTTATTTTGTCTAACAGCATTACGGCAGATGATTTTACTTGTCAAGGGGAGAGTGTTGGTACTTAATGGGTTAACTGGCCATGGGTCCGGTTAACCCATTGAGTTGCACCCTACTTTATTATTTTACTCTAACACCAGATAATTTTACTTGTCAAGGGGAGAGTGCTTACTGCTGGGTTAGTAAGGGAAAGCAATTAATAAAAGGCCAATCCAAGAAATAGCTGAAAGAATATGCTGTCCCATCTATTTTTGATTTATATCAATGATGAATCAATCAGGTTTCTTGGAGAGAACTAGATATACTGTGAAGGTTTTTGATGCATACTAGACAAATTAGCCAGTTTCTTCAAAATAGTTTCCATTGAAAACTTTTGCTGTCACTAGTTCTCTTTAAAATCCTGTTTGATTCATCACATTTCACTGTCCAGGCCATATAGACTTGAGATCCCTTGACATCTGCAGCAGCAAGGTCATCAAAGTCACACTAAAACACTTGTAAACAGAGCATCATAGTTTTCGCACCAGCAGACCAGGTAAATCAAGCAAAATAGGTTTTAAACTTCAAAATACTTCACAATATTATTCCCTGTTATATATCCCAACCGAAATCCTCGAGAAAAAAAGCACCCAAAGAACCAAAACCTTTAATTTCTGCAATAAAATGTCTCGAACTGCTCAACCGACCATGTGATGATTTTCAGAAAACATTTAGCGATCGATTATTTCGTCTTTATTCAACTTAAATTGTACAAATATTCATCCAAAACCTTCACACCAGTTAGTTCTTCCCCAAAAAAGGTGGTTGAACGGGATCGGAAACAGTAGGCAGGCGTAAAATGCGAAAAACATGGTTTTTCCCTATCTCGCTCTATGCTTTTTGATCGGTTGAGCCGCCATTTTGAATGCTCATGTTGGCGCGTCGCGTGCGTAATAGAATACATTACAGTCAGCAATCTAGGTCTCCTATATCTATGCTCAAAAGCCATGTTCAACATCCAGAATCTGGATGTTATGCTGATTGGCTAAGAGACGATAAAACGCATCATGTGATTCAAACCGGAAATATATCACCGGCGTATGTAAACACCAAAAATAGAATTTGTAATTTTGTCAATATACTGTTAAAAGTGCTTTATTTCTGAAATTTATTTTCAATTAATTAAGCCTAAAAATGACAAAATAAGTACGAAAAGACGTTGAAAACGCTTTTGCAGCAACATTTTACTCGGTATAAAACTAAAACTACATAATCGTAGCAGAAAGCGTGTCTAAATATCTCGCCGTAATAGTCGCCGTAGAACGAAAATATGTGGATGTCGGAAATTTTCAAATATTTAGTTCCAAAAAGCTTAAGCCTTATTTATCAGTTTATTGCCGAGCTGTTTTCCAAGACCTGCAAGGATATAGTAGTCAGCTCGCTCGAACTAACATGCCAACATCAGGCAAAAATTGAAGACAATAGCCGTTGTGTCAGACGCAGTTGAAGCGAATAGCTGTCTCGAATAAACTATTAATATGACACGAGGACCGAGGAAGAAGAAATCCTATTCAGAGCGCCGAATGTTGTCTCTTTAGACTCCTGGAAAAAGCCATCGAGCTATGGTTCCCCGAATAAGGCATAGTTTACGCTTAGAATTCCATCATGTGGATATTTCGACAAAAACATACCGATTTTTCTCCGTATTTATTCAAATTTATATAAAACTGCAAATAACGAAATTTGCGTATTTACATACCTGTAGCGGACAACCGGAAATATGCTACAACCGGAAATAATTTTAATTGGCTGATATTCTGGGGGTGGAAAGCCCGTAGAGGCGAATTGTGTCAGGCTCTCTTCAATACCGAGAGCCTGATACTCAGGTTAGGCTGATCAAGGCCAGCGAACAAAATTTTTCGACTTTCGGTATTTGTTTGGCGTTGAAGGGAACTCATTTAATGAAAGTTTTATTGCTTGTTTTTGAGCTATATAACAGGAAAAAAAGAAGGAAAAAGCCAGAAAACGTAACGTCTAAGCACTGACACAGGTCTGCATAAAATATGGCAAAGTCATGGCATTATTTAATGGGCAAGTGACTCAAAGTTACCAAAGTGAGCTCGGTACGTCAAGAGCAAGAGAAGTCATAAGTAAGTTTCCATGTTTATTTAGTGTCAAAAAAGGGACTTCTAAACGGTATTTGTCCATTTTTATCACAATAGCAATCCTTTTTAAATGAAATACACATTGTTTTGTCTTCAAACTTCGAGTTTATCCGCCGGATAGTGGATTTAAACTACCTCCGGACCTCGGATAAATTTATCCAACGGATAGTGCATTTTATCCGTTGGATAGCGCTATCCAAGCTTCGTACAACGCGATTTTCACTCCGGATAAAATTTATCCGCTGGATAGGGACTTATCCACCAGATAGCGATTTATCCACCTTTCGTACAACCGGCCCCTGAACTATATAACATGGAAGTCTGACTCGAGCTCAAAAAGTGAAGCCAACATGGCGGAAATTGAAGGCATTCTTGCGCGTCATTCTCAGTCCCCTTACGTGCGCGGTCAACAAAACTTTTATATTTTTTTTTATTTTCCGAGCAAAAATTTGGTGAAAAACAGACGAAATGTGAATGAAAAGTTGAATTCTGGTGTTTTGTTTGGGTTCGGTTCTAAATTTTAATTATTATTTATTTAGAAGATGCGATATTTGAGTGGAAAGAAAGCAAAATAGCGCGGGATTGCTGTTTTTGTAAATGACAAAGAATGACAAAACAAAACACAAATGTCACTCAATCTTTCAAAATATCTGTATTGCCCCTATCGACAAGGGTTTCACACACATAAATAACTCATTAAAATGAACAGTTTAAGTTTAAAAGGCAATCATCAAAGTCATTTTATTAAATTAAAAATTAAAAAACAAAATTTTCTTACATGTATGGAATTAAATTGGCTAAAAACTGCCTCGAAAACTGCAGTTAAAAAGCAGTTTTAGATCAGGAAAACGGACTAAAATAAGCTAAATAATGGTGTGAAAACTGAAAAGCACCATAGAAACAAGTAAACAAAACAACCAAAACAAAAATAAATTCCCAATTTATAAAAATACAGATTTTATCAAAAAAGCAAAAAAAGTTTGAAACTAGTTGTTGAATTCGCAACGAAAAATACAGATTTACTCACACATACAGTGGGAAAATGCAGTAGACTGTTTGTAGCATTTATTTCAACACGATTAAATTCGCAGCATAGCTGATGTGGTCGTGCATTTACATAGTTATGTGCCTAACCCACCCTGTCAACTTTCCCTGTGGGAGGAAACACGGAGTGCCCGGAGAAAACCCACGACTTTCGGCAGAGCGTTGACTTACTCTTTTCACATTAGGACTGGGTTCCAGTCACAATGAGAAGTCCTCATCGAGATTCGAACCTGCGGCCTTAGAGGTGAAAGGCAAGTGCGCTAACCACTTCGCCACCGAAGCCCCTACAGATCGATTAGATGACAGATCGATTAGATGAAGGAAATAGACAGATCGATTAGATGAAGGAAATCACGTTTACATGAAATAAATAAAGTTTATTTCCTTTTTTGCTCTTCTAAAATGAAGAAAAACACAACCCGAGAGTCGCGGACCCATCACTTCGAATAATTCCCGCCATGAAAATACAAAAATTGTTTGGCCGCGCGGGTAAGGAGACTGAGAATGACGCGCAAGAATGGCTTCAAAATCCGCCATCCATCCGCCCACTTTTTGATTACGTCAATGACTGAAGTCAGCCTTCCATGTATATAGTTCACTACTATATACTGGAACGATAACTGCTGATAAACATGCCCATACTTGCCTGAAGCCAAGATGGCGGAAATTGAAGCTCGTTCTGTAGGTATAAAACACGCGTGATTTTTGCGTGGGCTTGTCACGAGGTTCGGAGCAAGCCGAAAGCGTGTTAAAATATTTTCACAAGTGTGGATTCAAAGACCAAGAAATTTCGGGTTTTTTACTTGAAATACGTAAGATTTTTGAACTCTTTTAACAGCAATTATAATAAAAAGTATATTTGTTGATAATAAGACACAATAAATCGAGTATTAAAGTTATTTTATCGAGCAACATCGTTTTGCTTTTATACTGTTTTACTGACTGAAAAGTCAAACGTTCCAACAGCAAAGAATTGGTTCAGTTTCAGCTATATTTGTGGACTCAGGCCAACGAATCATTAATTAAAAGATAAGTATTATATTATTTTACTCTTATTTGTTATAAACTATTGATTTTTGAACAAGATCAACTTGTTTAAATGGTGCCTGTCACTGGGCATTCCATTTTGTATAATTGTCTCGCTGTAGTGCTTTCCGTACGTGAAGAGACGCAATGTAAAATACTTGTCTGCTGTCCACTTTATTAATTTTACTTGGTGGTCGTCTTCGACCATATCTTCGTTTGCTCCTAGCTCGTGGTCTGCAAACACAGATTTGTTGCCGTCCAGGAGAAAATTATGACAAACTTCCAGAATCATTTTGGTTTTTAGGTTTTTCATGTTGTTGATGCCGTTGCCTTTCTGGCAGACATACAGCTTGAAGATATGTTCACAATGTTCGATTGTAGTGTAAACAGACTTTGATGGTATACGCAATCCGCCGTTGTTGACAAACAAAGTAAACGCTGAAGCTGAAGATACTTGACTGTAGGTTGATGGTCCACAATAGTCGTGATCTGATGCTTTCATGCCTGGAGTAACCTCACCAACAAGACATTCTTTGCATGCTTGACAGGTGAGCTTCTTTACAAGTTTAGAGACAATAAATCCCCCAATGTAAAACAATATATTAGATATAAAATCAGAGTGGCTGTTCTGTTGTAGTTGTTCATACATGAAATTTTCTTCAGCTGTTTCCTGTGAATTTAGGGCATCTGGCATGTCAGCATTCTGATCCTGGGTGGACATTTCTGTAAGTGGTGATCTATGCTTTATTTTGTGCAGAATAGGAATGATTGTAGTAGTTTTGTTGTCTTCGAAATCTATGCAATTGGCATTCTTGGAGGCAGTTACAGCATTTCTCATCAACAGCTGCCGTAAAGCATACTTTATCTGTAAGCAGTTGGGGTTATTGTTCCAGCCTCCCTTCGATCGAATACAGGAAAACAGGAGTTCGATATGGTCCTGCGAAAATTTATAGGTTAACAGGTACTTGAAGGGATCACCAGGTTTTGAAAACATTTGATCAGCCATCTCAATCGTTGATTTGATAGTAGCGACAAAACCAATTATGAAGGTCTTTCGTCTGTGCGTTGCCAGCTGCTGTGGACTGGCTGAATCTGTTTTGAGTTGAAGGAGGTAATTGGCTGTGGTTCTCAAAATTTCCTCATACACATTCTTGTTCGATTGTCGTAGTGGTTGTTTGTACCCTTTTCCAATTGGACTTCTTGAATTTAGCATGTCAAAAAGACGGTCGATTGTTCTGATAAATTTGACAGTGCCACAGCTGTTTTGGAATTTGGGGTTTTTCATACCAATGTCAAGAAATTCTATTGCATCAGCCACTGAAGAGCTTAACGTCTGAGCTGCTAGCCGAACATTCATTTTGTGCTTTTCAAATTTGATGTGGTTGGGTGATAACTTGTTGCCCATCTTCAATCCCTTCTGTTCTTGAAGGATGTACAGTTGTTGAAAATGCTCCCACTGTATTTTTTCCCCTTCACCATCAATAATTGTGCCAAGGTGTGCCAATGCATTTCTAGCAAGTTTCAGCATATGGCATGGATCTGCAATAACAAATACATCCTCTCCTGTGGTGGGGTGTTTAAATTTTGGAACAATGGTGTCATATGTTGTGCCGAATTGACAGCCTAGCTGCCGGAAAGTGCTTAGGTTGACTGACGTTCCATCTGCCGTTATAGACCATACCTTTAACCCTGCCTCAGCTGCCATTTCGAGTGCCATGTTTATCAATTGTGCCTGGTGTGTAGATGAGATCTTATCAGTAAGGAAGTTGCCAATTGGGCATTTCCAGTGGCTTCTAGCTCCAACCAGCAGGAAAACGTGTGCTTCCGAAGCTAACGTGTCCGGATCATCAAGGATCGGTCCTCCCTGGCCATAGTCCACAAAACCAGCATAACAATCCTTCTTTGGGTCCCATATTGTTTGTTTCCTGATGGCCATAGCATCAATAATCAAGCAGCAATCCTTTTTAATAGCATCTCTGCTGACTTCACTTGCCAAGGCAGTAAATGCTTCCTTAAAAAAACCTGGTTCACAGTTAACAGACGATGACCACTTCCGAAGGAGCGATTGATTTGGTAGTGGAATTATAGACCTAACATACCGGTATGCTTTAGGAGAATAAAAATATAGTGTTAGTGCAAATTCCTTCACTTCGTCAGAGTATCTTCTACCTGTTGGTGTACTGCTTAAGTTGTCTTTTGCATTTTGAAAAATCGATAACTGTAGGTTGTCAAATGCTGCATGGAGTATACCTGCCTGTTCTGTGCTTATGATCAATTTTTCTTGTAAATGTAAAATGAGATCTTTCATGCTCTGTAACTTTTTCTTAGATCGTCTCAGTTGCTGTTGTAAACCCTTAATTTTTTGTCTTAATGTCTGTTGTAATTCAGATCTATCTGGTTCTTCATCCTGCTCGTCCTCGGTTAAATTTTCATCATCTTGTGGTTCTTCGTTGCATCTTGCATAATTATGTTCACGTAGAATCTTTGCTGCAGGTGACATGGAGTCTGATTTATCTGGTGATAGTGAACGTTTTCTAGGAAGCCCGAGCCGTCTCCTTTCTGTATCAGAAAGATCACTGCTGTTAGGTATATCCAATATTGAAAATACTGATGGTACTGCATTTTTTTTTAATCTACAGGTCTCTTCTGCAGTCGTTGGAGGAACAATGTAATCCAATCGTTCAAAATGGTTACTGCATATGAAGCTGTATCGAGTAGCTCTCCACACTTGGCCATTGTTGTTTATTTTCATAACTGCATTCTCCCATTTTTGTAGCATGATTGGATCTTTTAAAGGGAACCTGTATATACATGCATTTGTAGTTATAGTATCATATTTTGATATATGACAGGGAAAAGGGGTAATTAATTTTATATTTTGTAGTGTGCTTTTTATAATTAAATTAACCCAGTGAGTGCCAGGGCTTTCCCCTTGACAAGTGAACTTGTCTGACGTTAGACAGAGTAAAATAATAAAGTAGGGCACAGTGCAACTCAATGGGTTATTTCACAATTTGTTTCTCTGAGCCCTTTACAGGGCCTTGTTAGGAACTTATGATATACAGTAGAACTGTTGTTATTAATGGGCATTCAGGCCACTTGTGGAAGTGGTCATTGAGTACTTACAGTTTGTAGTTTTACTGTACATAGTTTTACTGTAAATATATATGTGTATTGCATGCCTGGTAAGTAGTGTCAACCTGGGGATCCAAACGCAAAATCCCTTCAGCCCCTTGAGGACGTTGTGTAACACCACGTTCCTAGGACGTCGAAGAGTCATCAACCAACCCCACAAATCCGTTGGACAAGTCGTGGCACGCCCCGTGTCTTCAGTCCCTTCAGCCCCTTGAGGACGTTGAGGACATTGAGGACGTTGAGAAACCACCGCCGTCAAAAAGCCATTTGCGAAAGAGGGGAATTCCCCATTTCGAAAAAAAATTAAAAAAATAAATTTTTTTTCGTCTAATAAATGACAAATACAAACACAAGTGTTTCGGACCGCGCGGAGAACTCACGCATACTACTTACGAAGAAAGGAATGAGCGATACCGAGTTAGATAAGATCAAGCGGCGGTTGAAAAAGAACGGGTGGTTATACGTGGAAAAAAAGGATGCTGTAGATTTGACCGACAGCGAGAGATTACGTACGGTAATGATGATGACTTCACCTTTTATCGAACTGAATTTGACTGTAGGTAAGGGAAAGAACACGAACCATCTTTTACACAAACTGAATGAAGATGGATGGAAGATTGTGAGGATAATACCGGTTTCGTCCGACAGAAGATGTATAAAAATGATAAGGGAAGTGTTTTCACACACTGAAACACCATATGGAAAACCCGGCACAAAATAGGGGAACGTTCGGTTCTCCCCTTCCGATCAACGCTGGGTTTTCTGGAATCACTACTCATTTTTCTCAACACCTTATAGGAATTGAAAATATAGTAAAAAAATGAATAGGACAGACCAGAAAACCCACGACGGACTTCGGATTACCGACCACAAGAATTTTTCGGAAGAGTCGTTCGGATTCGGAAATACCATTAAGTATTCCAGATTCGATGCGGAAAAGACTAGGCTTTTATCCGCGAAGGGAAAGACGTTATTACTGCGTATTCCCAACTGTCTTTCGTTCGGTGTGAAAAAGAGTACGAAATACAGGAAGATGGAATTTACGCTTCCCATTTCACTTGACGAGGAATTTGTTTCCATCTTTGATACCATCGGTGAGAAATGTTATACTCACGTTAATAATTCTGATGGGAATGCGATGACCTGTCTTTCCAGAAACGGAAAGTCACCCGTCCTCTACGCGAAATTGGACGACGAGACTATCTTCTTCGATGAAAACGGTGAACCGATCGGTCATCGTGAATATCGGGACTTATGGTTCCGATCGGATGCGGTCGTGAGGATCGAAAGCGTTTACGCGGCGGACGACGTAACATCCGTTCAGATGAAACTTCACGAAGTTTGGATCAGATCGGATCTTCCGTCCGACGAAACTTCTGATAGTCTGGTATCGGAGGAATAATAAAAAAAAAACTTTTATTTTTTAACATGAAAAATAAAAGAATGAATCGGATGACAACCATCATCCATTCGGCGATGAAACTATCTGCGGGAAATGGAACCAACATTCCGAACGTGGCGTTGACGGAAGAAGAGGCCAACGTCTTATACGCGACGTGTGCGATCTGTAGTTCGTCCGCGTTATCCATTCTGATGTTCGTGACGGTAAAATTGGTGAGGATGTGTCGTAAGAAGAAGAAGAAAGATCCTGCGAAGCACGAATTACCCATCCACACACCGTCCGCGTAATGAGATTTCAATAATATATTCGTACTATTGAAATTTATTCAGGATTATCATCACCAACAAGACTTCGAACGTGATCGGGATCAGTAGACAACTGATCAGGCACGTCCAAAGTAACATCCTCCACAGGAATAATTTTATCATCTTTTATTCCATCGTAATTTTTAACCGTCGTACTGACGTATCCGATCTGCGTGTGAATACTGGTCGTCGCATCGCCGCGATCGAACCCGAATCCCAAACTGAACATTTTTCGTCTTTTATGATTTTTATTGCGTTTCGTTCCCGTAGGTTTTGAAGAGAAACATCCCATTTTAATTAAATGGATCCGTTGCGGTCGAAATTTAATAGTTTTTCTTTTATTTCGTCGGCCTTTTCCCCCTTCACCGTCAAAGTTTTACTATTCGAATACCAACGTATCGAGACTTCCCCGCTTTCGAACAGTTTACAGTAACCTCCCGGGCTTGTCCACCCTTTACTAGATTGTAGTTGTAGTCGGTCAACAGCTAGACGAAGCTCTTCGAAATTCTTTTGCCATTTCAAATTGCCATTGGCTATCATTAAAATGCTGCTCTCAATTAGTTCGCTATCACTTGATGGCTTCGTGAGATTAACAAGCGAATTGTTCTGGTTGAATTCGGATTCAGTTAGGTTTAGATCTCCCTCTATGCTGTTTAATTCTTCTGTAGATCTGCTAATTTCGTCTCGTTTACCGTTCAATTCTGATTCGTTTCGATTCTGTGTTATTGCTTTAGACATTTTATTGCCGTAACAATACTTATTAACAAAAAATTTAAGAGTATACAGAGCACCAAATGCACGTCCTGCCTCTCTGACTGATCAGAAGACGTACGAACAAGATTTTATCGACAAAGATCCGAATTTTTTTGTAATTCCGTGCGATCAGGACGACGTGGAATATTATTTGGAACTTGTCGTGAATTATACGTCGGGAAAAGATTCGTTGATTATTTTAGATGATTGTGCGAGTACGAAATTCGTCAAGGGTCGTACGGGTGAATTGGTGAATTTAGGATTTGGAGGTCGTCACCGAAACATTTCGACGATCGTGATCACACAACAGTTGACGTCGATCGCCAAACCATTTCGCGAGAACATTCAGAAATTAGTGACGTTCTATAATCCCAACAGGCAGGATATGAAAACTATCTTCGGTAAATATTTAGACGTGAATCCTGCGGAAATAAAATCCATTTGCGAGAAATTAAAACAGAATAAATATTCGTACTTGGAAATAGAATTAATTCATCCGTTCCGTCATGAGATAAAGTATAAGTAAGAGAATGGAAGAAGAAAGTTACGAAAAGACGGAAGCGGAAATTGTGGAAGAGATGCGAGTGGAATTAGTTCGGTTATCGAACACGGGCGAAATCAAACAATCCGAGAATTATCTGAAAAAAGCAACGCCGCGTATCGTTCGTAAGATTAAGCGGGAATACGATATCGGTCAACGTGAAAAAGTCAACGTCTTATTTACGGAAGTTCTGATCGATAAATTTTCGGGATTTTTGGAAAATATCCGTATGATCGATAGCGGGAATGATTTGAAAGAAGAATTAAATCAGGATAAATTATTAAAGAGCGACGTGAAAAGTATCGTGGAAAGAATATCCCCGTACATTCCGTATCTGGGAATTTTAAGCGGCGGCGTGACGACGGTAAAACATGTGTACGGAAGAAAAGGTAAGGACGAAGATGCGAAGGAAGAAGACACGAAGACAAAAGAAGATACAAAGACGGAATAAACTATCGCGAATCACGATAGTCTAGGATATCGCGAATCACGATAAGTTAGTATTTTCATATTTTCCTGAAAAAAATATGAAAATTTTCCTAATACCTCACCCCACTTAATTGTCCGTTGGCGATCTTGATGACGCCGTCCGAAAGAACGAACGTGTAACAGACGACGTTGGCCGTCGTTGCTTTTTTGGTAATTTCCACTAAAATTCCCGACTGTGTATTTTGAATTTTCACCCCGTTCCCATAAGTCTTTTCATCGTTCGCGGTCCGTAAGTCGATGACCAAGGCAAATTTCTTATCTTTGTAGAATTTCACCAGAGATTGTTGACTGTTCGCATCACTCCCAAAAAGCCGTTTGGCTTCTTCGTACATCCTCGTCTTTGTCATTCCCTGACTGTAAATAACGTTGGGAACACCTTCGATCGTCACTTTCACTTTTTCGATATTTGGATTAATATAATCCTCGCTATCGGTCGGTGTTTTGTCTGTGAATAACATGACGACGGCTTTCATACCACGTCGCGGAACGTCGATGGTTTCGTTGACGATCGTTGCACTTTTGTCCCATTCGGTCTTTTTCATTAACGTGACGTGTTCGAACGATAATTCTCGTTCGGCTCCGTATAGATTTTCGGATTTTCGGGCGAGATGATTATTTTCGATGGACTCGTATTCCAACTCGATATTTTCCAACGTGTAGCCCTCGACGGATTCGCCACTTTGGGCATTCATGATTTCCGTGGCTTGTGGTAACGTGATGACGTATTGTAGATCGTTCGCGGAATGATACGGTGCGTACAATCCGTGATCGCCTATGATCTTATTAATTTTTATGCGTTGTTTCGTTCCGAAGACGCCGAACAACGCGACGGCATCGGCATCGGTATTGGCCTCGTCGTCTTTCGAGATTTTTTTACGCACGGCTTCGGCGGCGATCCCGGCTTCGGCGGCGATCCCGTCTTCGATCATATCCGCACGTTGTTTTTCGTCCATCCACAAATCTTTGTACACTTCCATCAAACTTTCGCCGCTGTTATCGTAAACGTTTTCCCCGGCCAACCGGATTTCTAATCTTTTTTGTAATAAATTTCCCAAATTATTTCGGAACCAGGATTTCTCGTTGGCATTTTTAAAGTCGAATACCAACGCCATACTAGCGGGAACCAAAACGGAATCCGGTTTGAGTTTTGGAATATTCACGTAGATTTCCTCCCCGGGTTTGGCGGAATTCGGATTGAACGTGATTACATGTCTCGTCCTATTTCCCACGAGTTCCGTCCTGGATTGACGGTGAAAATCTGGCATTAATTCTTGTGTTCGGCTTTCCATGGGATGATGAAATAAAAAAAAAATTATTTTTTCTTCCTAAAGTATTCGTAGATGACGGTGGCGATGAGAATAGCAACGAGCCATAAATTTTTCGCAAGAAATTCTAATCCTTTTGCACCCCATTTTAATATGGTCGCCAACATATTTAGGATCGGAATGAAGACGGGTAATGCGGCTTTCGCTACTTTGGCCAACGCTTTTCCAACTTCTCCCAATCCTTTCGCGGTGCCGACCAACGTCTTTTTCCGGCGACGAAAACGGTCGTAATGATACCTGCAATGGATATGGTGATGGCTGATAAGACTCCTAGATTTTCTTTGGCCCATACTTTAAATTTTTCAAATCTCGTTCGTACGTCGTCGCGTACTTTTTCGCGAATGCGGTGAATTCCTTCTTCGGATTCGGGACGTTGTCGCATTTGTAATTTCGCATCGTCGATATTTTGGTCGATAATTTCTATAGCTTCTCGTAAAATTTCTTTCTTTGATGGATCGGATTCGGTCTGTAAATTTTGTTCGTGTCTTTGTCGTTCGATCTTTAAGAATTTTATTTTTTCTTCTGGTTCTCCTTTGGGTACGGTAATTCCTACGAGTTCCCTAGCTTCCTGTTCGGTCAATTTTCCTTCACGATGAAGTTGTAAAACCCGTTCGCTAAATTTAACGTTTTCGTCGATATTTTCACGATGAATTTCGTCACGAACATCGTCGGAAATAGCGTCGATGTTCTCATCACCGTTCGGAACTTCTTCTTCCACAATACAAAGAGACGGGAAAATTTATGGATTTAATTCCGTTTGATTACCACAAAAATTCCTACTTTTGTTCGCTGGCAGCATGTTACGTCGCTACCTTCAAATCTGGAATTTCCGAAGATCATCTGAATAATAACATTTCCCATTCACATTTAAGAAATTCGGATTTAAGAAAATTATAGAAAATAGACAAAGAGCGTTTCGTCAGGGCAAAAATCCGCTATATCGTAGATTGAGAAATCTTGCCAATAGAGAAAGTAAGAGACTCAAGTCAACCTTCCTTAAGAAAAAGATGGATGAGTTAAAACTAAACCCCAATGCTAAAAAATGGTGGCAATGTATAAAACAGCTTGCGGGTTTCGCCAAGAACAAAACATCCTCTAATTTCGTTGTAAACAACCAGGTTTTTGCTGGTAAAGAGTTAGCAGATAAAATCAATGATGTTTTTGTCTCATCTACCCAAGATATTCCTCCCTTGAATAAGTCTCCAGTTGATGACCTAATTGAAAATGGCAGTACAAGTAACCTTCCACAGTTTATTATCGAAGAAAAAGATGTATACTGTAAATTGTCCGCCATCCCCGGTTCCAAATCACCTGGTCCTGACGGAATACCTAATTGGGTGCTTAAATCTTATGCATATGTTCTTTCTTCCCCTGTGGCATCGATTTTCAACGCTTCGATTCAAGAAGCAGTTGTACCCTCAATGTGGAAAAAAGCGAACGTTATCCCTGTTCCAAAAAAATCAGTCCCTAAAGACATTTCTAAAGATTTGCGCCCTATCTCACTTACCACCACTTTATCCAAAATTTGCGAACGGTTTGTTACAGACTGGTTACTTAAGTCAATTGGTGCAAAGATTGATACGCGGCAGTTTGGCTCCGTTAAAAATTCCTCGGCTACTCATGCCCTACTGAGCCTGATCCATCACCTCCTGAGTGCTACAGATGCTTCAAGCAATGCGGTGAGAGTATTCTTGCTTGATTTTGAAAAAGCTTTTGATCGAATAGATCACAACATACTGGTGAATAAGCTACAACAAATGAGTGTTTCCCAAACCATTATAAATTGGATTAGAAGTTTTCTCACTGATCGTAAACAACGAGTCAAGTTGGCTAACTGTCATTCGGACTGGCAAACGTTAAACGGTGGAGTGCCGCAAGTGTCGGTGTTAGGGCCGGCTTTGTTCCTTGTTATGATAAATGATCTTCTTATTGATTGGAGCGATAGATGAAAGTATGTTGATGACAGTACGTTTGCTGAACGAGTTACATCAACTGAGAGTAGTGAACTACAAGATCTAGTGAATGTTATCTATAATTGGTGTGAAGTTAATAATATGAAGCTCAACATCGGCAAATGTAAGGAAATGGTAATTGACTTTGCAAGAGTTTTTACCGTTAACATGAGTTTTTACCGTTAACTATAAATAACGTTGGTATTGAGCGGGTAAAATCTGCCCGAATTCTTGGTCTCTCAATCCAAGATGATTTAAAATGGAACGAGCATGTGAACCATATTGCTAAAAAAGCGGGAAAACGCCTTTATATGCTAAGGTTGTTAAAACGATCAAATGCCGACAATAGCATTCTAATTTTGGTATACTGCACCATTATCAGACCAGTACTCGAATATGCCTGCCAAGTTTGGCACTTCAATATTACAGAATACCTAAGTGAAGATATCGAAAAACTACAGAAGCGGGCTCTGCGTATTGTCTTGCCATTCGCTACTTATAGAGAAGCTTGCAGTATTACTGGTATACCCTTACTGAAAGATCGGCGGCGATTATTATGCCAACGTTTTTTTGTTAAAAATGCACATGGAGACAAATTGGGTGACCTCTTACCGCCTAAACTTGAACATAACTATAATACACGTTATGGAAGCGATTATAATAACTATAGTTGTAAAACGGACAGATTTATGAAATCGTTTTTTCCACAGATGGTTTCACATATGAATAGACCATAATTTTAATATTTTTAATATTTTTAAATTTGAACTCTATAACTTTTTCAACTGAAGTTATGAATAATTTTATGCATCTAGATATTCTGTTGTAGTATAATGAGACTTTTTACTGATGTAATTTAACCTGATAGGTTACAAATCGGTATTTTATTAAATTATTATTATTAGTCACATCAACCGTAAAATTCCACGTTCATTATCAAATGGAAAAATTTATGAAAAATCCAAAATTACTGGATCATTTACTGACCGAAGATGACATTGTCACCATCCGAAAATATATACCCGTCCACGAAACATGGGAAAGACGAACCGTATCCTCGCATGCGAATGTGGGAACGTGGTATTACGGATTACCCGTGGATACGCGTCGTAAAATTCGAAATCAGCATTACGTACGAACCCAATACGGCGGAACGTACATCGTCTACGAATATTTAACGGGAAGGTTCCCAAAAAATGTTATGGAAGATCATAAAATTTTCATTCCGAAAACATCGCGCGGATTGACGAAATTAGGACAACGACTTTTTCAACAATCTCTCGAAGTTTACGTGTACTCCGTTCTCGGAGCGCAGGCAAAAACCCGATGGAGTATTGTGGGACAAGGCGCTAAACGTTTACAGACGCAAGATGCTTTTCGGAAAGTTTCGGGAGACAGTATCGTACAAAGTGACGTGACCGTAATCATTCGAAACATGCGAACGGCAATCGCCGATACGCACGTCGTCCTCAACTTTGCCATCATGCCGGGATTAATTTTAATACCGTCCGATATGAAAATTTTACAAAAACCATTGGCGGGGTACAATAATATTTTAACGATCGCTAAGAATGGAATGAGTTTTGGAAAGAATGAAAAAGTGAATCCTGAAGGGATGGGTGAAACACCTACCCCTTTGGTGAATCCCGTAAGTCCCGTGAAACCTGTAATAAGTCCCGTGAAACCTGTAATAAGTCCCGTGAAACCTACAGATCCAAAGGATCCCGAAACTTTACATCCTACGGAAAATACAACCGTTCCACAAACCTTAAATTTAGGAATCATCACCGTCCTTTCGACGGGAGTTGCTTATTTTCTATGGAGATAATAAACATGAGTATCTTATTCGGTTACGATCACTTCGAAAACAACGACCTCGAAAAGAAGGTCGCGGACATGGAAAGAATACAGCAGAGAAATACGGCCGAAATTCAGAAAAATAAAACCGAACTGATCGACTTGAACGACATCGGAAAAAATCCACCCGTTCAATACGATCTCACACAACTTTCCGGATATCCACCGGGATTTCTCGAAACCACCACCGTCTCGGCAACCGATCAGAAAAATGCAAAATTCATTATTTTTAAAGTAAGTGGTGTCGGTATCAATCAGGAAACGCAATCTCCCAAGGAACGGATTTTACGGTGGAAGTACGGGAAATGTCGTCATGTTTACCGAAACGCAGACGGGCGGTATCGTTCGTACGACGTTCACATTCTTTTACATGGCCAATAAAAAAATTACCATCTTCGGATTAAAATTTAGAAATATCGATACGGCAGGAAATTCATCCGTTCGAAAAAAATCAACGGTTCTCAAATGTTTTCTCGTCACGTAATTTTTTCAGTTCTTCTTAAAAAATTCACAGTATTCGGGTCAGTACGTATCCGCTACCGAGATCGACGGCACTTACGGTAACGTACATATATTTTTGCATGTCGTTCGACGGTTGATAATAATCACTTAATTTCGGTTTACGATCCGGAGCCGATAAATCCATCCGTCTATTATAATTTCTCAGTTCGTCCAACGCTTTGTTCGTCTCTTCGATATCGTGATTCGCGTCTAGAATTTCTTGACGTCGACGTAATTCTTGGTTGCGTCTTTTCACTTCGGATTCGTAAAATTTCTCTTTGGCCTCGGCCAATTCTTCTAACGCCCGATTATGTCTTTTCACTTCTTCCTTGTACCCGTTTCGGTTCAAATGGGAAAATAAGAATCCTGCCCCCGCAAACGCAACGGCATTAAATAATCCGCCGACGATTAAATTAGATGTCATTATTTATTGATTGATTGTTTTAGGAACGTATCCTTTATCTTTCAGATACGCGACGGCAAATGAACTTCCCGCGACAGCAAGACTTAATTTCATCGCACCTTCGAACGTCATCGGTGCTCCCAAACTTTTCCCGACGATAGTTTTTGCAGCGTAGGATACGCCGACGACACCGGCCGTGAGTAAGGCGGCGTCGTAAAGGTCGTTAATCACTTCTTTTTTCGTATCGGTCATCTTTTATTTCTTATGAAAAAAGAAATAAAATATTTTTATTCCTGGCATAGTTTTTCTATTTCATTCAGTTCTTGGTTTGCTTTCCCCAATTCTTCTGTAAGTCTTAAATTTTCGTCTTCGAGTTCTGTGTTGTCTTCTTCGAGCATATCTATTTCAGCCAACAAGTATAATACCTTTTCCTTATAGTTTTGTAATCTCTTCTTCCTGTTCCTGTACTTCGAATTCCTTTTTCTCCAGTTCCTTTTCAGTCTGTCTGATTTTTTCCTGAACAGCTAATCCTCCCTTTTTTCCGGCTTCGGCTTTCCGTTGATCCTTGACGATATTTCTTTTGTGATCCAGTTCATGGCGTGCTTCTATTCGTTCGGTATCCCTAAGTCGACGTAATTCCATATCATCGATACCTTTGATCATATTTATAACACCAGGTAACGTATACGTTCCCGTTTTTCGGATGGAGGGAAGAACGTCCTCGAATACCCACCGTTGAAAATTTTTAGCGGTAGGTAATCTCGAACCGAATACAAGACTATACAGACCAGGTTCGGTGACGAAAATTCTGTTGGGTTGCACACCACCGGGTATGCAAAGGGGTCCGTGAAACACGGACCCCTTTATATTTTCAAGTGTTATCCTCATCCATTCTTCCGTGTGCCTGGTAACAGCGTCATTCGGTCTAACGTATCCAAGTGCAGTTGCTAATTCCTTCGCTGCGAAGTAAAATGTATCACTACCATCGTCGGACTGAATGGTGGTAATCTCGTTATCACCAATCAGCGCTGAATTCTTCAGTATCATCACCTTCATTCTCTTTTAATATCCTATGAAATTTTCATAAGATGTTTATAACCCCGACAAATCCTAATCAAACAAGTCGTCGAAGGGTTCATCTCTCACGGTTTCCGTCGGTACTTCTTCTTCTTCTTCCACGAGACTTTTTTCCGTTACCTCATCTTTTCTCTGACTTCGCCATGCAAGATATAAGGATCCGAGACTTATCCCCAATCCAAATATCATACATATTTTATTCAACGAAAACATCTTACTGTCTTCCTCCTCATAAACTTCCTGCCGTCGTTCCGCTTCTTCCCGTTTCGCTTTCTTGTTGGCTTTGGCCTGCTGACTGATGGCCGCCAATCTTTTTCCCGCCGCGACTCGACGCGGATCTTTGACTTTGGGTTGTTCCGAAGGTTTTGTAACTGGTGGTTCTGGGGCTGATATTGCTGGTTCTGTCATTTTATTATATAGGTAGATTTACTTAAAATTTACTTAAATTTACTTGTAAGATCTTGCAAGACATACTGGAAATTTACTGAAGTCTTACTCACAAGATCCAACAGGACATACTTAAATTTTACCGAAGTTACTGTCAAGTCTTGCTTGTAAGATATTACATGACGTACTTAAAATTTACTTGGGTTGCTGTCAAGTCTTACTTGTAAGATTCCACAGAACGTCCTTCAAATTTACTTGAATTTACTCGTCAGTAAATTCAAGTCTTACCTGCTACGCTTGCAGGGTTTACTCAATGCCTTCCGTATGAACGTCCTCGCTTCTTCTGCGGGATGTACGCGCGTCGCAACCTTTTTCTTGACGTATACCTCTTTCTTACCGACGTAATCCGTCAAAAGTTTTACGATCTCTTCGGGAGACGTATTCGACGGAACGGTGTGTTTCCCGATACGGATCGTATCACCGCGTACAAAGACGTCGAACGTCTCGATCCCACATACTAGATTATTTAACATCATTCGGACGCCGTTGTCTTCCGCATGATCGTAACAATATAAAAATTCCGGGTACTGAATTCCAACCATTTTTTAATAAGGTAGAATCTACATAAGTCCTTTTACGATACAGCACAACCAGTTATCTTATAATCTTTCGTCACGGGTATTTTCGTAACTACCGGTAATTCTTCCCGTGGGAATTCCGTAAATCCACGATACTTTAGTTCTATCCTCGGTAATGTACGTCTGTCTTCCGGAATGTCTTTATGACCTAATGCCAACGTATGAATACCATCCTCTAAAATATATCGCTTGTCGTCGTTCGCGGATAGTGCCACTTTCACTTGTCGTTCGGTATAAACGGTGTGTTTGTGGCTGCGAAGGGTCGTCATCCCGACGCGTTTATCTTTCACACTGTTCATCACTTCGTCTTTCAATCTTCCGAACAGACAATCCTTAAAATCCCGATGCGTCAATCCTTTATTCGCGACGCATTTTTTGATACCCTTACATTTCTTTTTCTCTTTTTCATCATCCCCGAGGATAGAATACAACTTCGGACGTAATGCTACAAGTTCCTTAATCTGTTTCGCACCCGTCTCGGATTTCATCATCCCGATGACTTTCTCGTTCATTCCACACGGAATTCCAGACGGGTGAGTTTTCGGGAAAATACTCGTGTCGAATTTCTTACGAACATCTTTCGAAATGTCTACGAAAAAGTCGTCGGTCGTTATTTCGTAATGTAGTGAATCCGTGTCCGTGAAAAGAAGTTCCGCATTTTCTCCGTATTTTTTCTTGATGTAATTATAATGAAAGTCGTACATCAACGTCTTGCTGATATCCAGAATGGCAACGCCTGCGTAAATGGGTTTCGTTAAATGAACGATCGTCTTTCGCATACGAACCAACGCTAAATGCTCTGTATATATGTCTGCCGACTTATAATAACTTTTTTTCGCTAGTTTATTCCACTTCTTTTCACTATTAACGAGCTTCACGTTAACACGGTTACGAACGTTCTCCATCGTCTTTCCGAACACGCTGTTGTTCATCTTTTTGAAAAAATTACTTTCGAAATCCGACTTTGCTTTTTTACGCAGATCGGTGTTCAGTTCGATATAATCCGCCATCCACGGTTTTTCCGAAAACATCACGCCGCGATGAACTTTCGTCACGATCAATCCTAATTCCACGTACTCTTTTAACGCTTCGTGATGAACGACATAGTTTTTCTTGTCGTTCAAATTCGGTGTAAGTTTTTCTACTTTGTTCCCACCGATAATCACCCGTTCGGGTGCTAGCGGATATTCGCTATGCAGGTCGTGTAATTTTTCGGGATATTTTAAATCCACTTCGATAAAACATCCTTTTCCGCGCGGAAGTTTATTCCATTTTCTCAACGCATATTTATCCATCCATTCGAACTTGGCGTAAGGGAGCGGCCGACACATGGCCCATCCGTATAAATTATTCGCGTCCAGATACGGTAAAAATACACTTTCTTTCGCGGGATCGTAATCTTTCGTGTACTTGTTGTTCGCAACGGCATATCTTTTACTGATCATCGATATTCCACCGCGCTTCCCCTTTTCGATAAAATTAAACATGGTCGGATCGGAAATTAATTCCAGTCTAATCCGTGTTATTTTCAAACACGCATCCCATGCCAATCCGGGAGCCGAATAATACCACGACGGATCCAACTCGTAATTTTCCATACAGATCCCGCGAAATCTTTCCATGACGTCCGCCAACAACAACACGTCCGTTTTCAAATACAGATCGTGATAGCCGCGCATGGTTTTTATACCGAACGACTTCCATATCTTTTGTGCATGCTCGTAATCTTCGTCCGTAATATTTTCATCGGTCAGACTGCTGAAAAATTTATCCCTGGACGGAAGTGATGGTTCGTCGAATTTTGAAAATCCATCCATCCATTCGTACGGATACGCTTCCTTCTGTTTCAACATCCGACGTTGATCCGCCGTGTAATTTCCCATCATCCTATCCGTCAACACAAAATCATCCTTTTTCAAATCTTTCACAAGAACTCTCAACGACGACGCCATGAATTTAAAAGAATCTACAAACCGTAATTTTCGCGTCATATTCTTCGACTCACCTTTTTCATTCGCAAACGTCCCGACCACCACATCCTTCGTGAACGAGATGTATTTTTCTGCCGTCTGCGCAATACAGTCGACGTCGCCTTCGCTCGCCCCGAAACATTTCACGACGTGATGCGCATCGTAACCCGCCAGATTATGGAAAAAGACCGAAATGAATTTTGGATTCTTCATTCTTAAATTACAACGGTTACACGCCGCACCGCGGTACTCGCCCGTGTAATGACAGTGATCTCTCACCTTCTTATTATCCTTCGTGAACGGACCGTGGCACGCGTAACACGTCTCGGACGTCGCTAAATCTTCGATGTCGTCCGGTAACATGACGATGGAAACAGGAACCTTAAATCTTTCGTATATGTCTTTCACGTCCGCTTCGAGGAGATCGTAGAATTTTTTCATGACGTCTTCTCCCTCGTACTGTTGCGTATAACTCACGTATTTCGGCGAATAAATCTCCTCGTCGAAACATTTGATCAGATACGCAAATCCACACGCCACATGTTTCTGGGTTTTCTTCGTACTCGAATAGTGTAGTGAATCTTTCTCGTCGTGAGGTAGCGGTTTTAAAAGAGATTCCGTACCCGCGTAAATGACAAACGGAACGCTGTGAATTTTTTCATAGCCTTTAAATTTTAAAATCTGACCCGGTTCCGCGTAAAAACATGCTTGCGCATCGTGATCGAAACATAGTTTCACATGTTCGGCCAGTAATTTCTAAGATCCGAATGCGTTCAGACAATTATCACATATGTATTTTTTACACTTTTGTTTACTCAACTGTTTTCCAAGTAGTTTCGACAAATCCGTCACGACGACGTAATGTTCGTTCCACAACAAAAGATTAATGGGATTAGGATTTCCCGATATGTAATTAGGATAAATCTTTAAGTTTTCGTCAAATCCGAAAAGGTTGACGAATACACCGGGATTATTTTTCTCAAATTTCCTGATGTCTTTCGTTGCCATCGGGAACTTAATATCGTCCCAATTTAATTTCTCGGCCTGAAGGCGAAGAATTTTTGTGATCCTTCCAGGATCTCTTTCGACCGGATTCAATGCACGCGTCACGGCCCATTTGAAACATTGATCGTCTGTATTCTGCATGTTGACGATACCTTTGTTTCTCACATAACCTTTTGGTAATTTCACATACTTTGAACCGCGGGCCGGATCATATTCACCAATATTAATAGCTAACCGAATTAATCTTTTTAACATCCAATCACTCCCATTTTTCTGATATTCTGAAAATGACTCTAAAATCTTTCCTTTCATTTCGTCCCAAATTCCGTCCGTCAAACTTCTTCCCGTGATCTTATAATTTTTCGATGAGAAATGAGCAGTATCCTCCGTCACCACTCCCGTGATCTTATTAATTTTCATCATGTCACAAAATAAACTCACGCTTACATTCTTCGACCTTTTCACAGAATCCACAAGTTCACACACGTGTCTTCCAACCACGTCAAGAAAATACTGCGGTTCGTATTTTCCCTTCGGCGTGATCGTGTATTTTTTAACCCTCATTCCAAACGCATGTTTATCCAAGACGGGTGTAAAATCCTCACCGCGGATTTCTTGTTCGCCGGACATAATCTTACGCCTTCTCTTTTCCGCATACTTTTCACGTGCCTTTTCGTTGCGACGAAGTCTTTGGGTTTCCTTCTTCCATTTCTGCGCTTCGGATTTCCAACGAAACACTTCCTTGCGACGCTTTTTCTCCTCTTTCGCAATATCTTTTTCTCACGCCTTTTCGTCGCGGAGTTTTCGTTCGTTCTGTCGACGACGCTCTTTCTCTTCCCTCGCGATGTTCTTTTCGTTCCGTCGACGACGATCGTCAAATTCTTTCGACGCAGATTTAATGTCCTTTCCAATAATACTCCTCTTTTCTTTCCTCGCGTATTCATCGTAACGGTCGTTGATCTCTTCTTCCGTTCTCACCGACTTTCCCTCGCGAAATAATTCGAGGGCATTTTGACGAAGACGTTCGTTGAATTCTAATATATATTTCAAGACCGAACTATTTTTGTTTGTATTTGTCATTTATTAGATGAAAAAAAATAAATTTTCTAACCTCGGATAGGTTAGAAAAAAATAATGACTACAAACACAAATCTTAAGTCTCGGTTCCAAATTTCTTTATTCTATACAACGAAAAAAAAAAATTTTTTTTCGAAATGGGGAATTCCCCTCTTTCTCAAATGGCTTTTTGACGGCGGTGGTTCCTCAACGTCCTCAATGTCCTCAATGTCCTCAACGTCCTCAAGGGGCTGAAGGGACTGAAGACACGGGGCGTGCCACGACTTGTCCAACGGATTTGTGGGGTTGGTTGATGACTCTTCGACGTCCTAGGAACGTGGTGTTACACAACGTCCTCAAGGGGCTGAAGGGGCTGAAGGGATTTTGCGTTTGGATCCCCAGGTTGACACTACTCTGGTATGGTCAATTGTTTTCAGTATGTAATTTATTTAAAAAAAAATACTATATATTTACCCATGTCAGGTGATGTGTAATACAATTATTGCAACCTAAGGCTTAATTAATACATTGTTTACATTGTTGCAAAAATAAACACTTGCCTGTGAAATGAAATTTTTGGCTTATTTTCCTTATTACTGCTACAATATCCATTACTTTTGCAGTTGCGAATCGTACAGTTAACTGGCATGTTATATTTTCCTTCTGAAAGGAGATAGCTTTTGTTTTTTTACTTCACGAAATGATTTTTTCCCTAAAATCTCAGAAAAAATTGTACTCTGGCAGGTGAAAAAGTACTGGGGAGAGTTAAAATTTGTTGAAAGATTTGTTTCTGTTTTTGCACGAAAATACTCATTTTTAGTGATACATAACTTACTTAAAAGATAAAAAGTAAACGAAAAAGTAAGATTGATGTAAGTTTAGTCCATATTCGCTGTGTTCTTTTGAAATTCCTCACCGAAAGTCCTGAAAACACAAAAGTTTGCCGATGTTTTTTGGCCGGCTTTTTTGCCGAACTTGTTTTTCACTCATCAAATAAGTTGAGATAAAATGACAAAATGTTTCTAAAATTTACTTCTACTGAAAGACCACTTTCTCTAGTTTACTAGAGGCATAGAAAAGCTCGACTTTCAAACAGTTGGCTGAAAAATTATGAAGCTTTTACATAAAAATGATGAACATTTTTCATAGTCTTCGTACGGAATTTAGTAAATTTCCGCGTAGGGGCCTGGATCATACCTACAAAACGAGCTTCAATTTCCGCCATCTTGGCTTCAATTTTTGAGCCGCAGTTATCGTTCCAGTATATAGTAGAGTTCACTGGTTTGTGACACCACACGACAGTCGACAACCGACAGTCGACAACCGACAGTCGACAACCGACAACAGACTCAGGCATTTTTAGACTCCGCACTGCGTATGCGCAGGCGGAGTAATAAACTCGAAGAATGTAAACAATGCATCACTAAGCCATACCTTTCGCCGAATATAACTTCGGCCCCTTTCAACATATCTTTTTGGTATTAGTCTTGTTCGAAACACAATCCAACACACTATTTAGAGTGTTATTTTCAAGCTTGTATGTACAGTTCTGCATGTTTTATTTCCCGCGAAATGTTAGGGATACACGACCGCCATATTGCCGGGGATACACATATCCCTAGTGAGGTGAGCATGGGAATACACATATCCCTAGTGATATTAGTAGGGGATACGCAAAACACGGGGATACTCATATCACTGTGACAGCGGCTAAACATGTACAATCAATCAGTCAATGTCAATGGCACATTGTCCTTGACAACGTTACTAAAAGTATATACGAAAAACGTCTATACGTGGCCTATAGATGCCTTGCACAATTGAGCATAGAAGCCTTTACGCATCTATAGAGCCCTATAATTGTCCTTGACGACGTAAATTACAAAATGGGCATGCAGTTATGACGGTTTGAAAACGATGCAACTAAATTACATGATGAGTATAATATAGGCTATTGTATTGTTTTTTTTTAACCTCGTTCCCAGGGTCTTTCTTAGAACGGCGCGAGGCGAAGGAAAGACCCTGGTTTCGGCTGGTCACGTGTCACCCAGATTCTGGGTGATAAATTAAAATGATACTATGGGCAGGGTGGGAGAGGAGCGTGTTTGTCGCGTTTGTAACAATATTTGCAATTTTGTGTGATGAAATTTAAATTTGCAACAAGAAATCGTGAAGAGAACTGCAATTAAAAATTAATATTTATCGTGATGTGACTTTCTGCTCTATAATCTAGTGTCGAGTTACAATTCAAGCAAGTTGGATCAGATTTCAACTTATAGACTTGAAAAACCGAAAGGGTTATGGCCATAGATATAGGAGACCTAGATTGCTGACTCGGCTCAACCGGTGTGACATTTTTGAAAATCCAAGATGGCGGCTCAACCGGGCAAAAATCATAGAACAACATAGGGAAAAACCATGTTTTTTGCATTTTGCGTCGTCCTACAGCTTCCGATCCCGTTCTATCACTTTATTTCGGCAAGAACTAACTGGTGTGAAGGGTTTGGATAAATATTTGTTACAACTAATACAATTTACAAATTACAATTCAAGCGGGCAAGATTGGGCAGGTCTGCAGTTTCGCGCGCTTTTCGTCTTTAGTTCCTGTTTATTCCTTCAGTCTTTTACGAGTTTTTTCTCAAGTAATGTGATATATATCTAACTATTCCAAAAGCTACTACTGTTTATTTTGTTCTTTCATTGTTATTTCGACCAAAATACAGTATTTTCATCTGAAAATTCTAGGGCTTTCTATTCTATTAAAATATCTGGGGGGTTTTATCGAAAAGAATGCTTGAATGTCGGCCTGGATCGTGTTCATCGTATTAGTGCAAGGCAGACGTGGGGATTTAAAAGATGGTATTCGCTTTTCCTTCCTTCCTTCCATAAATCATTAATAATTCATGAAGCAATTATCCAATCTTGAGTAAGAAATTAGTCACGTGCATACGTTTTTATACCAGCTAAAGAACACTTTAACAAAAGACAATTGTTATGCAAACTATATAAAGATTTTTATATAAAGATTTTTATATAAAGATTTTTATCTAAAGATTTTTATATAAAGATTTGACTTATTATGCAAACGTTTTTGAAGCCAGGTCGTGTTTTATTAGGTCTAAAGCCACTCGCGCTGCGCGCTCGTGGCTTTAAACCTAATAAAACACTCCTGCTCGTTTTTTAAATAGTACATACAATACTGTTTCTTTTAAAAATCTTATAAACAAGACGTGCAAAGCATAGCAACGTTTACAAAAAAGGACAAATCTAATGCTTGTTTTAAAAATATTAGATATGTAGAAATGGTGACCACTGAAAAGCCCATAAACGTTTGTTATAAAACCGCGCTCGTGTGTCAAGAGAGCATTGAATAATAATAACACGAGAAAGCACTGCGAGTAACGATTTGCTTGGTTTCTTGACTTGACTGTTGGTAAAAATGTTCTTGTAAATTCAAAGCAAATAAAATAAACAAAAATTAGCAAGTATTTTGAACTTACTGGTAATAGTTCGCAAAATTTATGTTTTTAACTGTTTGTAATTTGATACTTTCACCACACCCCCCTCGGGCAATCAATTTTGGACGAGGCACGTGACCAGCCGATACCAGGATCTTTCCTAAAGACCCTGGGAACGAGGTTGCTGTCTTTTCTGACAGTTCTTAATGTTGGGTTTGTGGCGGTTGCCATTCTTTATTATATTCAATTTGAGCACATAAGTTTCTTATAGCTTTATTTTACACGACAGACAGAATACAACTCACGCTTTTACAATGAATATACACTATTTACATAAGTTACGCTTTACGGTGATTGGTCAGATATTTACCAAATATAGTCATGAGTCTCTTGCTCTTTATCTATATGTAACTTAATATATCAATTACTAATAACATTCCAACTAACAATTGTTTCTACTTTAATAACATAAATTACGTAATACATAAGAGCACAACTTAACACCCCCCCTTGCTCGCAATGTCCTAACTTCGTCCTGATTCTGACAGTTGAAAACAATAACCTGAAATACTCTTTCTCTCACTAACACAACCTCCCCAATCAGAGTCACTAAAACCTATCAACTCCAAAGGTTGTTTCATTTTTCTGAACTTTAAACTTAAAACAGACGTTCCTTTCAAGTACCTAAGAACATGCTTTGCTGCATTTAAAGCTGCTGCCGTAGGTTTTGACATGTGTTGAGATAACTTTGTCACAATGTGGCACAAATCTGGTCTTGTACCTGTCATGACATAAATAAGGCTTCCAACAATCTGCCTATAGGAGTTGGGATCCTCTAAGACAGCTGATTCCATATCAATAACCTTGTCAAATCCAAGAACAGATGGGGTTGTCTTAGGTTTACAATTATTCATTCCAAATTTTTCTAACACCTTTTCAATATAGCGAGTTTGGTTCATCTCTATCATACCATCAGAACATTTGAACTCAGTGCCTAAGAACCAATGTAAGATTCCTAATTAAAATCCTTCATCTTAAACCTTTCACTTAAATTTCCCTTCACCGTTTGTAACAAATCAGAGTTACTTGCAGAAATAAGTAAATCATCTACCCAAATAATCAAGATAATGCACTTACTGGCATCACCATCAACAAACTTATGGTAGACACAAGGGTCAGCCTGGGATTGCATAAACCCTTCCTTCACCAAGTAGTTATGAAGTGTTGCATTCCAGTTCCTACCACTCTGTTTGAGACCGTACAGAGACTTATTGAGTTTGCAAACAAGTTTCTTACCATTTCCCCCCACTTTTTCGTAGCCCTTAGGTTGTTCAACAAAGATGTCACAATCAATGGGGGCATTTAGGTATGCTGCCTTAACATCCATCTGATGGACAATCATATCGTTTTGCACCGCGTGCTGCATTAATACTCGAATTGAGCTCATCCGAGCTGTTGGTGCAAATGTTTCATGGTAGTCCACACCTGGGACTTGGGAATAGCCTTTCGCTACGTACCTTAAATATTGGTGAGAATCTAGCCTCAGAGATACCCATTTCTAACGTCAACCCTGAAGACTATTTAGAATCAACTGAGCAGAGATTTTCCATTAGACCTCCTACGGTTGATATGGTTTATATTCTGTTGAGTAAAATTAACGAACGAAAAGCTCCAGGTCTCGACAACATTCCTTATAAGCTGTTAAAAATAGCAGCTGCAATAATCTCACCATCATTAACTGATATATTTGCCAGATCAATTAACACTGGCATATTTCCATCCGAGTGGAAAATGGCTAGAGTAACACCAATATTTAAGAAAGGAAAAAGGAATGATCCGAATAACTATCGACCAATATCAGTTATTTCAGCTGTAGCCAAAATCTTCGAAAAATTAATCTTTGAGCAACTTTATAATTACTTCAGTTTTAACAGCTTGTTAACGCATTGCCAGTCCGGTTTCAGGTCGTTACATAGTACACTTACTGCTCTTCTTGAAGCCACTAGTAACTGGTCAGTTAATATTGACAATAGCCTCTTCAATGGAGTAATATTTATCGACCTTAAAAAAGCATTCGATACTATTGATCATCAGATATTGCTGCGGAAGCTTCGAATTTACGGTATGGATCAATTAAGTCTCGAATGGTTTCAGTCTTATTTGACCGGTCGATCTCAGAAATGTAATGTTAGAGGTTGCTTGTCATCATCTGCATCAGTTACACGTGGTGTACCACAGGGAAGTAACTTAGGACCATTACTCTTCCTTGTGTATATTAACGACCTTCCTAATTGTCTCAGTGCAGCAGTACCGAGAATGTTTGCTGATGATACGAACATTAGTTATGCGGCCAACACTATCGCCGAACTAGAAAATGTTATTAATTCGGAATTAAAAAAATTGAAAAGCTGGTTGGAAGCGAACAAATTAAGCCTTAATATCGCCAAGACAGAATTTATGATAATAGGATCTCGACAACGTATGCATGCGCACACTAACGAAAATATCAATATTGACCTGGATGGTCATGTGATTAAACAAGTTGATGAGGCAAAATCACTAGGTGTAATTATTGATAAAAATCTGTCTTGGTCTAAACACATTGATATGAAGTGTAAAAAGATTTCTTCCGCTATAGGTGCTCTTAAGCGAATAAAACCATTTATATCAACTGAAACAGCAATCCAAATTTACAACGCTATAATTCAACCTCACTTTGATTACTGTAGTCCCATTTGGGACGAATTTGGCGCAACATTATGTGAAAAAATGCAAAAATTGCAGAATAGAGCTGCTAGAGTGATTACGAAATCCAACTACGATGTCAGCTCTAGCATTCTCTTAGAGAAACTGCATTGGGACAATCTTTCCTTACGTAGGAAAAAGCACAAGTCTATACTAATGTTTAAAACCATCAATAAGCTAACGCCAGAGTATTTACAAAACATGTTTACATTTCGCAGCACAGATTATAACTTAAGAAATGCAGAAATGAAGCTAAATTTACCAAAACCACGTACGGACTTTATGAAGCGTAGTTTCTGCTACAGTGGAGCAAGTTTATGGAATGCGCTTCCTCAAACTGCACGTACGTCCAAATCATTGAGGCATTTCAAAAATGAAATTAATCAATTCTTGACATTATAATGGGATCCCCACACGGCAATCTTGGAAAACAGTGCATTTTAGTTAGGAAATTAGTGTGTATATAGTAATGTGTGAAATTTATTAATAGTTTTTGTATTTTATTCTACACTGAAGATTTTACCGTGTTTAAATAAATGTTCAATGTTCAATGTTCAATGTTCAAACCTAGCCTTATATGTCTCCTCGTCGTTAGGCATTACCAGAAATGTGGGACATTTTGCGTCCGCAATTGTAACCAGCGGTTTTACGCATAAATGATGATTCATCAAAAAATACAAACAAAATGGCGGCTCATAGTCTTCAAAGAAAAATCGTGTTGTTAATATATTGAAGACGAAACTCAGTGCTGATGGCTAAATTCTATTTTATTTTACTGCGATTAACTAATGTAAGATTGTCTGACATTTTTACAACAGCAGAACCACTATTTGTGGCACGATCGAAGAAGTATTTTCCGGATTTGACGCGTTTACGCACGTATAATAAATGTATTTAGCTAAGAAATGTGCATAAATTTGCGTGATGGGCAGGGTAAGGGACTGGGAAGAGCATAATTAATTTGAAAACAAATTTGGCGGAGACGAAACGCAATGTATGAAAATTTTATCGTAGTTGTGCTGACAAAAATGGCCTCTTGTGGCATGTGTGGATGAATAAAATGGCTAAGTTTAGAGGATTTTGGAAGTAGTTTCCTGCGGAATTTAGATACTTTTGTTGGCTAATATATAAACTTTGAATGTTATTGAAACAATTCCGATGCCAAGCTCAAGATTTCGCTGGATATATTTCCGTACACCAGGCTGCGTTTGTGGCGTGTATTGTCAGATTCACATGCAATATAAGGAGTCATTATGCTGGTGAACGTGATATCAATAGTGATCTCGGGAAGTAAGTGTATTTTATTCCAGAAATAGTTGTTAGAATTAAAAGATTCCTGAATCAGCATAGCATGTGAAACGATGCCAAGTAAGCGTGATTTGCGGCTCATTCATGCGATTTTTGAGAAAGTTCTTATATGCCTATACTAATCCCAGCATTATCGGACGCCATTTTGTTGCGTAATTTTTTGTCATGTCCACCATCTTGACCCACATTTCTGGTAATGGACCTGATTTAATTGTGTACACCCATTTTCCACCTACTATCTCGCGGTTGGGTGGAACCATGGTAAGTGTAAATGTTTCATTACTTACCAGAGAGTCAAATTCTTCATCCATTGCCTTTTTCCACCGAGCTGAATCTGGTGAATTTACTGCTTGTGAATAACAAGCTGGGATGTCATTCATCCTATAGCAATAATCTATTGCAATATTAGCGCTACTATCAGTGATACTTTTTACAACATACTCACTTAGGTAAGCGGGTTTATTGTGAGTCCTGGTAGGGTACCTTACTCTACTTACTTCACCCTCTGCTGGTGGAATAGCTGGTTCAATGTTCTCATCAGCTCCAGTTTGTTGCTCACCGTAAGAAGTGTTGCGGGGAAGTGAGACAACCTCTTCGTCAATTTGATGGTTCTCGTTATCAAATTCAGTTGAATCAAAGAATTTAACACATCTCACTCATTCAACTTTCATGCTTTCTGGATAGTACACCAAATATGCAGGGCTATTTTTGTCATACCCTACAAAAATCCCCTCCTTACTTCTAGGTTCAAGCTTCTTAGAACCTTGCACATATGCATAGCATACTGACCAAATACGTGCATATTATTCAGATTTGGCTTTATGCCAGTTAAGGCTTCATATGGGGTTTTGCCCAATCTGTCATTGAAGCACCTATTCCTTATAT